CGGCGGCTGCCGCCTGACTTCTTTCTTCGCCATGGTTTCGCTTCTTCTGCCGTACCGGCTTCTTTTTCGGATCCACGGCCAGTTTATGTACCGCCAGATCAGGACTAATGCCTGGCATTTCATGGACTTCGAATGCAAAGATGTCCTTGTATTCTTTCAATAGTTTGTGAAAGTCGTCACCCAGGTCCTTTGGAGCAGTCGTCCCAACCTTGATTTTTCTGTTAGGACGCGAGTCATCTAACATCAGGTCCGTATGCTCACCAGCTGGCTGAGGGCGGAATTCATCCGACCGCTCCTCTGCCAATGATTGCTATTTTCTGTCTTTTCTGGCCCCTGTCTGGGATGCCTTTCTCTTCTTGCCGCCTGATTCTTGAACAGGCGCACTCTCCTTGACATTGTCAAGGTCTATTTTTCCACCGCTCGACATAGTGGCCATAACAGTGGGCTTGACATCCGAGAGATAGCACTCTCGGGCCATCCTCTGATCTCCCCTTAGGGACCCGACTGTTCCATTATCCCTCTCAAACTTGAGCAACATAAGAGATGGGATTATAACAGCCTTGGAATTATTCAGGGTTGGTCGTCCCAGAATCATGTTGTAGGCCGAGAGTTCTTCTACTACCAGGAACCGGACTACCATGTGTCGTCCTTCTCTTTTGTCGGACCTTTTCCCGTCTGACTGTTTTACCGTACTACAAAGATCAGTCGCCTGTATATAGGCTTCCGCTTCAATCAAGGTCCTCTTGAAGAGTCGCCACCCTCTTTCGGACCAAATCAAATTTGAAGGTTGACCCGTCTTTGAGACCTCTAAAAAAGTCAGTATAGGCTACTTCATCCGGTAACCCTTGAATCTGTATTCTCATCAGGTTAAACCGCCTGATGTAAGAACGAAGCCCCTCCTTCTCGCCCTGCTGAATTGTTCCTAAATCAAGGGTCGTCTTCTTCGCAGGGATGTTCATGGCGAAGTTGGAGGTGAATAAGTAAACAAGCGTCTTGAAGTTATTTACACAACCAGTCGGCAGGTTGCCGAACCATTGTTGTGCGATTCCTTTGAGAGTCGCTGGGAAACACTTGCACCAAGTGGGATCATCCAACCCTTGAAGGTACATCAGGTTGGTGAATGCCATTAGATGGTCTTCTGGGTTAGTAGTGTCGTCATAGGCGCCTACTAATACATTTTTCACTTTGGCCGGCTGAGCGGCTTCAGTAATTTCCTTGGATTAGGCCGACGGATGTTCACCAAGTCTAAGCAACCGTAGCTGCCAGTCCATAGGTTGGACATTTTTTGCTGCATGTCCACCAAACGGAGGTGGCTGTAAAAAATACTGTTGTTGCGGTACAAACGGTAAGTTTGGTACCGCCTGGTCGCTATGATAGCCGGACTGACGGGAGGTGCCGCCTGACTGACTCTCATGATACGACTGAGTATGCCTCATCGAGGTATTTCGCAGACTGACTTGGAAGTTTGAAGTAGAGGCCGACTCTGACAATCGGTCACTCTTCTTCTGCTCTAGCAGTAGCCGAGCGTCTGTGTATGTTTTCCTCGACCCGTCCGCCTGAATATGACGAACATGTTTCCTATTTCCTGGAGTAGGAAAACGGTATTTTGTGAAATCAAGGGCAGGTGGCTCCCACTTCCTAGATTTAGGATGAGGGGTCGCCTCTCGCCCTTGAACTGGCTTCCTCTTCCGTGAAGTGGAGGGTTTCTTAGCCGACTGCTCCTTGTCCAAAGCAGGCGGCTTCTTGTTGATCAACTCTTGAATTTCTCCCTTGAAGTCCCTCATGAAGGTCATGAGTTCGTTCCTTGTGATGGGAGCAGACCCATCAGTCGGCTGCTGCCGAACAGGCGGTGCGCCTGCTGGCTCGCTTCCTGTATGAAGATGTTCCCGTTCCCTCCTTTCGGTATGACGGGTACGTAGGGCCCTTAGGGTCCCGTCTGAAGCTGTGTGAGCTTCAACTTCAAATTCATTCTTAGTATCGTGGTCCGACTGAACTTGAGGGTCGTCTAGGGGACGCCTCTCTTCAGGAGCCGGTACAGACGTGGATGCCATCTCAGAAGTACTCTCCCCACAGACGGCGCCAAGATGTTTCGGGGTTTTCTAATGTCCTGCGGGAGAGTTACAATTCCGAGACTGGAATCGGACGCCTGTACCTGCAAAACAAACGGATGCTCCGGATGATTGGAGATCCGCCTCCGACGGTCAAGTTAGTACTTGATTAAGGAGTAATTAATGCGGAAATTAAAGTGATTGGGTCTCTCTAGGTGAGAGTGTTTAATGTGAGTAATCTGCGTTTTTTGCGTAATCTCCCTTAATGAGGATTAAGGGAGGTATTTATAACCTCGGGAAACGTGCCAATCTAGGTTTAGGTTAACCTTGGGCTGATTGGGCTTCCCTCGGAAGTTGGGCCTAGGTGACCGGTTATCCCAGGTGTCATGGGAAGGACATGTGTCGTGTCGTAATTGGTCCATAGTGGACGGATCATTGCTTGACACGTGGCAGGCGCCTATTGGCCCATGTGACGGACACATGGCGGAACCTGATTGGTCCACTTGTCAGATGGTGATTGGTGGGGAAAAATCCCCTAATCAAGATGTATGTCAGAAGCTTAGATTTTTGCATGACAAGAATCTATAGCTTTGCAGAGATATGTATAGCTTTACAGAAAAGTTGACATATGAAGTAGATATATCAATGCATGAAGTGACTACACACTGAATTTTGTTTTTTGTTTTTTACCACTCCTAATAATAATAATTACAGTCATAATAATAGTAATTATAATAGTAACAATTACAATATGATTAAACATATATTAAAAACATTAAAAAATAAAAACTAATACATTAAAAAAATTGAAATAAATAAAACATTAAAAAAAACTAATACATTAAGAACATGAAATAAATAAAACATTAAAATAACATAAGAAGAACAACTTCATAAGAACCTATTACTAAATTCCTCTCTAAGCTTCTTGTACATTTCTAGCTCAAATTCATCAAGGTTAGGTTTCATCATCAACATATTTAACATTTTGAACTTCATCTCCTCTTCCTTTTGCCTTTTCCTTTCTTCATCTCGCTCTCGTATTAAGGCCATCATTCGTTCTCCTTAGTCATACCTCTTGTCACTATATTCTGCAAGAGTTGTATTGAACGAATCAAGGTTTATAGATGAAGACGAAGAACCAGATTCCATTGCTAGTCTCTTCGTCTTTTTTATGCCATCTGGTCGAGTCCGTGGTTTTCCACCTTCAACAATTGGTGATTTTGGTTCAGATCGTTTTGCATTTCCTCCGCTTTCAGCAGGTAATTGCATGACCTCATTCAGATCCCATTTTGGAAAATTTTGCATAACTTCAAAACAATATTGTAAATGGAAATGTTTACCTTTGTTCGCCATTGCAAAAGCATTCTGTGCACGTTTTTCAACATCTGCATCTGATTGTCCACTCTTCGGATGTCGTATCTCGTAACTGTATACCTCTACCCACTTGTTCACATTCGAATTAATGTGATCCCAACGTTGTTGTAAGGACTTAGTATTCCTCGTCTTCTGGAGCTCATCAGGATTTGCAAGTCGTGCTTGTTCGTACAATTTACAAGCTGCAGCCCAAAATCCAGCCTTAGTCCTTTTTGTATTTTTTGTAACAATTCCCCCGGCGTTGATGTAAGCCAAAACAAGTGCGTTATCCTCTGCTACATTCCATGAATTCCTCGGCATAGTCTCTCCAGGAGAAACTTCAACGACAACATCATCAAGATCCTCTAGATGTTGCGCTTCTCGTACCTCTTCAGTTGGAGTTGCATTCGTGCTACCATCTCCTCCCGGAGAATGGTCCATAGGTTGGGTAAAATGTTGAGACATGGGAAATAATGGACTATGTTGAGGAAAATGTTGGTGATATTGGGTTGTATCATTTGGATTCATTGGTCTTGGTTGATTACCAAACCATTGTAAGGCAGCTTGAAATTGAGGATTATTGAGGATATTTGGATCAAAAGGAAGATTATTTGAATTATTTTGAGAGTTTGGAATATGTTGAAAATTCAAATTTCTTCTTAAATTTGGATTATTTCGATCCATATTGAAAGATAAAATGTAATGAATTAAATTGAATATGAGTGAGATTAATAGGAAAAGGAGAGAAAATATGAAGAAAATGAAGATTTTGAAAATATGGCAAATTTAAGTTCATTTTATAGAGAAAAAAAAATATAACCGTTGGTGTTTTTTTTTTTAAATAACTTACCGTTTTTTTTATTACCGTTTGAAAAATTAGAGCATGTGTAAATGTCAACCAATGAGAAAGCAACAAAATGTCAGCATGTGCAACCAACAAGTGGGCCCCGCCAGCCTAAATGGCCAGCAGGAACGTGCCACGTTGCAGCTGCTGGTTCAACTTTGCTTTTTGGTTTTTTTTTTTTTTTTTTTTTTTTTGTTTTTGTCCCCACCTTTTTCAATCCCCTTCCCTATTTCATCATCCTCTTCCCCAAAAGGAAGAACCATATTCCTCTTGGTAAGAGGACTCTAACATTTATGTCTACAATGGAGGGGATTCCTCTTAAGAGGAGAGAGAAGGCTTAAAGGAGAGTGAATCCCCTCCATTGCACTTGCTCTTAGACGACAGAGCAGACACAACATTAAGTGCATTAAATTCTACCCACAGCTTGGAGAAACCAATTCTGCATGCCAAACAAACAGCATACAACACCGCACTTGCTTCTGCAATATCAGGAGTAGTGAAGAGAATCCTCTTTGTGGCAATCAATACTATCTTCCCCCGTCATCTCTGCATACTACCCCCAAACTTGCGTAGTTACCTTCAACAATGTGGGCATCTACATTCTCCTTATCACCCCAACTGATGGACAGCCCCATTTATGTGCACTTCGAGTACGCTGAAGAACTGCTGGCCTGAAGACTTTATTTGCATAGGAACTATACTCATCCACCCAGTTGCAATAATTTACAGCTAAGGAACCTGGATTAGAACGATCATTCTCGAAAATGTGGATATTTCTGCATCGCCAAGCAGCATACAACAAAGTGGCAAACGTCCGTAGCCCATTTATCCATGAATGAGTCAGCTGTGCATACGGCGATTAGGCTCAAAAAATTGCTCTGCTCCCAAACACTTTTAGCATACAGACAATAAAAAAGAGCGTGGTTAATGGTTTCCAAGTTCTCCCCACAAATCTGGCACACATCATCCACCGTTATATGTCTCTGAGCCAAGCGTTGACATAAAGCTAAATTGCCCTTTATAGCATTCCAGATGAAGTGGAGGAGCTTCGGTGGGGCATCTAACCTCCACACTGATTTCCAAATTTCCACATTACTCAAAGGCGCATTTCCTCTATTCTAAGAACAAGCTAGCCAATAACAGGACAACACTGTAAATTTACCATCCTTACAAGGAAACCAAGTTTTGTTAAAAAGCTTAGAAATTTTGTTAATTACTACCTCAAAAACAGAGGCTTTGTGAATTACTACCCTAAATAAAAAAAGTTTTTAATTACTACTCCTAAAATCGATTAATTCAAGTGATTGCTACCCTTTTCTCTAATTAGCCCCTAATTAAGTGATTTAAGCTCTTAATGACATCATTATCCGGCTAATTTGTAATTAGTTGCTTTTAAACCTCAATTAACTATTTAAACCCTAGAACCACCTCCAAACCACCATTGCACCACCACCGCCCACCCTCCACCCTCCACCCACAATTGCCAGCCCCCTCCCGTCAGCCACCCTCCACCCTGCCGGCGCCCAAAGCGTTGCTGGGCGCCGGTGACTCCAATCCCCCTCTCTTTCCTCCACCTACGCAACCCACCCCCTTCCTTATCCCCTTCTCGCTGGCCTTACCCCTACCCCAAAACCAAAAAACAACCCTCCCTCCCCATCCCCCCCACCGGAATCGGCCCCCCACCTTAAATTGACCCCCCTCCCTTTCCCCCACCCAAAACAGCCACCCCTAACCCTTAAACACCAGCCCGACACCACCATAAACGAAACCCTAAATCCCATTTAGGGTGGTTTCGAGCTGGTGGTTTATGGTTAGAGGTGCCATTTTTGGTGCTAGGGAGTGGGGCGACTTGTTCGAAGGGAGGAGCAGCAGCAGTAGCGTCGCATTTTGGTGGTGTTGCGAGAGGTTGAAGGTGAGCAATGGTGGTGCGGTGGGAAGAGCAGTCGTGGGTGGGGGAAAGCTTGTGCGCCGGTGGGATTAGAGCTTCTTGCGGGCTGCTATTTGTTCGACTGGGCTGTTGGCTTCCATTGATGGTGGTGCGGGGCTGTCGGTGGGAGCGGAGATGGGGTAAGGGGGTTGTCAGAGATGGTGCAGTGATGGTTTAGAGGTGGTGTTAGGGTTTATTTAATTAATCATGGCTTAAAAACAACTAATTATGATTTTTCTAGACAATGATGTCATTAAGAGTTTAAATCACCTAATTAGGGGCCGGTTAGGGAAAAGGGTAGCAATCACTTGAATTAATCAGTTTTAGAGGTAGTAATTAAAAACTTTTTTTTAGGGGTAATAATTCACAACGCCTCTGTTTTTCAGGTAGTAATTAACAAAATTGCCAAAAGTTAAAAATGTTAAAATTTTATCGATAGTAAAGGATTTATTAGTGAAGGGGATATAAAGCAAGAAATGTGATAGAAACTATTTATTGATTCTTACATACATTGTTCACAATACGTGAACTTCTTATATAGCAAAATTTATAAAATATAATAATACACATTATTGTACTAAATATATATTATTGTACTTGGTAAAAATAAAATTAATTAACCGGTTAAAACTTCATACATGTGAACTTCAATCATATTTGTATTTTTCTCAACACTCCCCCTTTGCAACGATATTGTATTATATGTTTGGTATACTGCCTCGTTAAAAACCTTGTCAGGAAAAACCCTGTGGAATAAAAACCTGATCGAAGGGAAAATGATTACACTGCATATAATACTCCCCCTAATTTCAGCATAGTTCACGAAGATGTCGCATTCCAATTTTGTGAACTAATTGCTCAACTTTCTTCGAAGGAAGTGATTTGGTAAACAGTTCGGCAAGGTTGTCACAAGACTGAATTTGCTGGATATTAATTTCCTCATCCTTTTGCAGATCTTGTGTGAAGAATAGTTTAGGGGATATATGTTGTTTTCTATCTCCCTTAATATATCTTCAGTTACTTAAGAGATGCATGCTTTATTGTCTTCAAAGATGATGGTTGGATTGTCTGTTATTGTGTTCATTCCACATTCTTCTTAGATATTATTGATCATTGACCTCAGCCATACACATTCTCCTCCTGCTTCATAAAGAGCTATCAACTCTACATGATTTAAGGATGTTGCGGTCAATGTCTGCTTTGTTGATTTCCATGATGTTGTAGTGCCGCCATAAGTGAACATATATCCATTTTGTGACTTAGCATTTTGAGGATCCGATAAGTATCCAGCGTCAGCATACCCAATGAGAGCAGCATCTTGTTTTGGTTGATAATATAAACCAAGGTCCTATGTCCCTCGTAGGTATCGGAGTAAGTGTCGGACTCCCTTCCAATGTCTGTATGTCGGTGCATTATATTGCTGTACCTGGCTAACAAGTTCACAGAGAAAGCTATGTCGGGTCTTATGTTGTTAGCTAAGTACATTAAGGCTCCAATTGCACTTAAGTATGGTACTTTCGGACCCAAAATTTCTTCATTTTCTTCTCGAGGTCTGAATGGGTCATTTTTCATATTCAAAGAACGAACAACTATTGGGAAGTTTTTTGTCCATGAAGAATCTTTTCAAAACTCTTTCTGTATAGTTTGATTGATGAGCAAAAATACCATGACTCAAGTACTCAATTTGTAATCCAAGGCAAAATTTAGTTTTTCCAAGGTCTTTCATCTCAAATTCTTTCATCAAGTATTTTGCAGATTTCTCAAGTTCATTTGGGGTTCTGATGATATTCAAATCATCAACATAAAATGAAATAATAGCGAATCCTGATTGTGATCGCTTTATGAAAACACAGGGACTAATTTGATTGTTTTTGGACCTTTCTCTCATAAGGTATTCGCTGAGACGGTTATACCACATCCTTCCAGATTATTTAAATCCATAAAGTGACCTATTTAATTTGATGGAAAGTAATTGTCTAAGCTTGTGGTTTTCTGGTAGTTTTAGTCCTTCAGGGACTTTCATGTAAATGTTTGTATCGAGTGACCCATACGAATACACAGTTACTACATTCATTAATTGCATTTGCAGTCCTTTTGTGACTGTCAAACTTACCAGAAATCTCAATGTAGTTGCATCAACTACTGGAGAATATGTTTCTTCATAATCAATCCTTGGAATTTGAGAAAATCCTTGGGCTACAAGTCTTGCCTTGTATCTAACTATCTCATTTTTCTCATTACTTTTTCTCACAAATACCCATTTGTATCCAACGGGTTTTACACTTGTTGGTGTAAAGCTATTTTTCCGAAAACTTCTCATTTTTCAAGTGACTTTAACTTAGCTTGCATTGCCTATTTCCACTTTGGCCAATCATTCCTGTGTCAACATTCTTTCACTATTCTTGGTTTAACATCATTTTCATTAGACACAATGTCGATTGCAATGGAATTTGCAAATATTTCATTTACGATAACATATTTTATTCCAATGAGTCTTGGTAGAGACATAATTCATTGAAATTTCATTGTTATCGATGTCGTTGTCATCTTATTCATTCCCCGTAAGGTTGTTCTCTTGTTCATCGCCTTTTAGATTATCATCATTTTCTTTACTTTCATCCACATTTGGTCTTTCTTGACCTTCTAATGGGGGGATCATCATTAGTCTCATTTTCTATTCCATCCAATCTTTTCAATTTCCTTGGTTTAGAATCTTTAGAACCAAGTGGTCTCCCACGCTTTCTGCGTGCTTGAGATTCATTTTCTATGGCCTTATTACCAGTTGGGATTTCAATACGTGTAGGGGCATTTCTGCTGATATATGTGATTTTGTCACCTTCTTTGTGTCTACAAATGCATCGGGCAATTGATTTGCAACACTTTTTAAATGAAAAATTTTCTTGACTTCTTGTTCACACATATTTGTTCGTGGGTCTAACATCAATAGTTGTGTTGCATTCCAAACAAGTTCTATTTCTTTCTTGCGTGGATCCACTTTCTCTCACCCTAAGACTGGGAATACCGTTGCATTAAATTGACAATCGACAAATCTGACAGGATAAAGTCGTATCTCCTAATAAAAAGAATTATCTAAGTCTTCTAACTAAAACAGATAGGGAAGTAGGGTTGAGTCCACAGGGAAACAAAGTCTTTTGATTCCTAACCAAGTTATTTTTGTGAGAATTAAACTAGGGAGAATAAATAAACTAAAGCAAATTAAACTAAGGATAAATCAATAAATCAAAGTCTAGGGTATAGATTCACCAATAAATAATATTCCAGGGTAAAACACAATAATCAATCATCAATTAATCAGATCTTAAAGGGCTTTCGCTACGTATTACAATTACAGAATTAATCTACCGGCATTAAATCGCATCTCTCGAATATTGACTTAACCATTTATAAATTAACCTACCTATTGAAACTAAGCCTTAACATCAATTGTCATCTCTCGAATCTCGAATCAATATTGCATAACTCATACAATTACACCAGGCCAAATATAATTGCATAACATTAAATCAATCAATTGGAAATCAATCCAACATTGACAATCAACAATAATAAAATTACCCCTTCATATTATTTATGGATCCCCACAAACCCTAGAAATAAAACTACTCACACATATTAAAATCTAAACCAAACAAAGCAATAAAACAAGACATGATTAATCAAAGCAATTATATTACTGAAAATAAAAGGGAAAGAAATCGTTACCAAAATAAACGGAAATAATGAATTGCATAAAACCAAAAGAGTTGAGAGAATAATAGTATTAATCAAAAGCTTAAAACTAAAAATCTGGAAATTAACTAATGAAAGGCGTAAGTATCTCTCTTAACAAAAGCGTATTAATACTTAAGGTAGAAATCTTAAGTTAAAACAAAGTAAAAAACACAAAACAATCCTCAAAAACACACGCCCGATCGGGCGACATCTCGCCTGGCCGAGTCGCCTTCGGCTGGTGAACTCTCTCTCGTACGCCCGGTTGGGCACGCCTCAGGGCGAGGAGTGCTTCTTTCTATCTGCCTCGCCCGGCAGGGCGCTGATGAGTGACATTTATGTCATTCCTAGGGTAGTCTTTTCTAGTAGTTTTAGTAGTAATTTGGTTCATTCTAGTGTGCTTTTGTTATGTTTTGCCTAATTTGAGTAGTGTACCTATGTGTTGTGTAATGTGTTTCTATATGGTTTAGGTAGTCTTTACTCTCCTTCCCCTTCGTTGTATTACGCTTTGCCTTCCTATTTTGTAATTGCAGATTATTGCCGGTGATTCGGATTGAGAAGGAACTAGGGCAAGGATTGAAGACATTGCACCAGCGTTCTGGCGCGGGCGCGATCTTAGGCTCGGGTGTGTGCTGAGTTGGCCCAGTCCCGTTATACCCATTTTTGGAGCGGGCGCGCTACTTTTAGGCGCGGCCGCGCCTTTCTGCGATAATCCGAAATCTGAAGTCAGATTAAAACAGCAAAGAGGAGAGAGAAAAAGCAGCAATCTTTATTTTAAATTTCAGCATACTTTAGAAGAGAAAAAAGAAGTCTTGTAATAGAAGTTTTTAGGGTAAAAACTCTTAGATCTAGTTTTTAGCCAATGGATATTGAAAAATTCTCAATGGATCTTAGTGCAATTTTCTATTTCCCAAAACTTTAGTTATTTTTAGGTAATTTTTGAAGAAGCTTTTTGGAACTTGAATGGGTTTTGTCCTCCTACTTAGTATTCAATGAAGTTATTGGTATTCTTCTACTTATTCTCTTGTTTTTATGTTTAAAAGTTCCCATCTTTGTTGGTTTAGTTGATAAAGTTATCATCTTTCTCATTAATTCCTTAGTTACTATGTTGATTAGTATAATTGTAGTTAGGGTTATGGATTGTGAGTAGTTATCTTGTTGCTAGGGGTTTGGTGAAGGCGTGCTTTGAGTTTGATGTATGTTAGGCTAGGTTAATTTGGAATATTTGCGATTAAACCTTCCTTGTGCTCATACTTATTGGCTACTCCATGTTTATGGTCATATGCATGTTATGGTTGAGTGACTTGAACTAAATCATGACGATAGTGTGATTTAGGAATAGTCATTAGGTGATTGATTATTGCATGACCTTAGTTTGTATGCCTTATGACGATAGTGTAAGTGTATGCTAGCTAGGATAGCTCTTAATCCCGATAGGTGATTAGAGAGTATTCTTGATATTGCTTTGTATGAGTTGCTTGGGTTACTTGTAAACCTATTTTCCGATGCCTAACTTCGTTGAATTCATAGCATGTTTGATCCTTCCCCCTAGTGCTTGTTTTAATTGTTATTCTATCCCCTTTAGTCATTACTTTACCCACCATACTTCTTGATCGAACTAGATTAACATTAGGAGATAAATACTCGTTTAGTTGCATGTTTAGGACTGCAAATATCATTTTATAGAGGTATCTTAGTAACGACCTAAAATACCGCCTGTCAAATTGGCGCTGTTGCCGGGGAAACAGTTTCCATTGTGTGTTTATTTTTTTGTTGAGACTAGTTCTTTTCCGTTCTTTTGTTTTTCCGTATCTTGTCAGTGCTCACTTTTTGCTTAGCTTTGTATATGCACAGGAGGCTAAATTGCTCTAAGCCTTTGGTATCCATAGACCTCGAGCTAGAGCGTACTCTGGCCCAATTGAGGAGACAAGCAAGGGAGAGAGGTGAAGACCCACTTCAAGAGGAAGTGAGAAGTTCCCCTACCCCATCTTCACCCACTTCAAGTGAGGAGGGTGAACCATCCACAGGCTCAATTCCCAACCCATTTGCCAATAACCATAATCAACAAAGCATGGGTGATCAAGGAAACATGGGTGATCAAAGGTCACTAAAGCAACTTGGAGCACCTAAACCATATGCCTCTCAAAGTGAGATCTTAGCCCCCACCACTCAAGCAAACAATTTCGAGATAAAGCCTAATTTCAGTTCAATGATAGAGAAGAGGTAATTTATCGGTGGGAAATTGAGAATCCCCATGAGCATCTCAAAGAGTTTCTCAAGTATTGTGACACTATCAAGATCAACAGAGTCTCCCAAGAGTACATAAGATTGAAGATGTTCCCGTTCTCACTCATAGAAGCGGCGGAACATTGGTTGAACAAGGATGTTCCCCCCAGTTCCCTCACAACTTGGAATGAGGTAGCTATGGCGTTCTTAGGAAGGTTTTACAATCACAAGAAAACCGCCGAGGGTCGCTCAAAGATTCAAAGTTTCCGCCAAAAAGGTGGAGAGTCTCTTTGTGAGGCATGGGAGAGATTAAAAGAGTTACAAAGGCAATGCCCACACCATGGGATTCCTAATTGGCAAGTTCTCCAAACATTCTATGGAGGACTCTCCCCTCAAATTAAGACTAGCCTTAATGCCGGAGGCCCAATCATGAATAAAAGGGAAGATGAAGTGGAGAGTATCATAGAAGATGTTGTTCGCAATTATGAGGATTGGTACGAAGGTGAGAGGGAAGCCACTTCTAGCAAAGGTATGGTGCAATCCATAGAGCAAACAAATGTAATCACCAACCTTTCAAACCAAATGGCCAAAATGGCTAAGCAAATGGAAGAGTTTATGAAGACAAATTCTCAAAGTTCCTCCCCTTCTACCAAGGGAGGCCATAGTATGAGCCCCTCTACTTCTTCTCCTTCTAATTACAATGTTATGCCCCCCGGTTATATGTTTTGTGATATATGTGGAAACTATGATCATAATTATCAACAATGTATGTCCATAAGTGAAGGTCCCCCTCCCCATGAAAATGATGATAATGTTGAAGATGTTAATGCCATGAATTTTGTGCCCCGTGAGGGAAATGTTGGAATGCAGCCAAATTGGATTCAAAACCAAAACCGTGGTTGGAATCAAAACCAAGGTTGGAATCAAAATCAATGGAATCAAAGTGGTGGTGGTTATGATAACCAAGGCCAAGGTAGGGGAAACTCTTCTAATTACAATGGAAGAAGTAACTCAAACCAAAGGCCCAATTGGAATCAAAACCAACAACACTATTCCAACAACCAACAACGTTTTAATTCCAATCAGGGTTCCGGAAATGGAAGGCCTCAAAATAGACCTCCCGGTTTTGAGCAAGTGAGATTGCAAAGCCCAAAATTCCAACTTACCTCCTCCTCAAATGGAAGCCGCTCCGAATTCTATGATGGGCGTGCTTCAAGCATTCATCAAGAATCAAGATGTAGGGTTTCGCAGTGACCCGACACTACGCGGAAGAAAACCCACCAAGACCCGCCCCTTAATTAAAGCAATTAAACAAGAATAATTAACTTAATCAAACAAGATTAAGGACAAGAATTATACCTTTGA